CACATGATTCTTACCTAAGCATTTAAAAATAGCCATAACAATAACACATGGGCTTTGTTTCTCCCCTCCCTGCCTGTAGCAGAAATAGCATGGTGAGTTTATAGACTGCATCCAGACTTGTGACCAGAAAGGGATCAGAGCCTCCCTTTTCCCTCTTGTCCCTTATGAAAGCAGGGAGAAAGATGAAAAAAATGACTCTTGCAATTTGCCCTCACTCCAGAGCCACCACAGCCTGCCTGGAAATGAGTGGTGCATGGTTGGAGACAAGGATTTGCACCTCTGGAGTGAGTGGTTTCCGTGCTGCCCTGGCAGCACAGGTGGGTGGCAGCAGTTCAGGTAGGCACAGCCGTGTGATGCTGCAGGTTTGCGGCTCCCTCTGACACCAGGGATCTGCAGAGTCCCTGGCTCTTTTGCACTGTTTCTATGTATTCATGTTGTGGCTGGGACTTGTCTCCACTTCCGTTGGCTCCTGAAGAGCTGGGTTATGGCTTTGCTAAGATGCTCAGGGCTTTCACTGCTCGGTGTGCTGCTTCCATCCATCCTCAGGCAATTTGCAGTGGCATGTTGACTTACTGGGATGTCTGCCTCTGGATGTCCTTTGCACCGTGCTGCAACCTCTTCCTTTGGCTAGGGAGGGTGATGAGAGGGGGTGAGAGCAGCCAGGGTAGGAAGATGGGTGGAGGCTTTTGAAGTTCCAAGCGCTGTTTCCGGCAACCTCCCTGAGCCTGAGGCTTTATCAGAAATGCTCAATGCCCTTCCCTCACAAGGGAGCATGAGGAGGCTGTCAGGGATAAGAAGGAGATAGATAGGAGAACACCGGCATCAAAGGGTGGACCTGGGTAGCTCGGCTATGCCCCATAGGGTGGTCAAGCATGAGAGCAAGAAAAGCCTGCGCCAGGAGCTTTCTGTACTCCCTCCTGCTGCCCCCAGACATGGGTCTCCTGTGGAGAAGGGCGGTTTGCTTTTGCCTTTGGAGGGTTTGATGTAAGGAGAAGGCTGGCACAGAAAAGCAGGCATTGAATCTCTGCAAACACAGGCCGATGGGTGGGGCTCAGTGGAGCAGTCCTTCCCCTCCTTGGCGTGGCGAGGCAGCAGCCAGGTAAAAGGCTCACTGCTCATCCACAGCTCATCTATGAGCAACTGGGCAAATACACACATTATGCTTTGCATAAGCTTGTTAAAGATGCCAAAATGCATGTGGCTGGCAGAGAATAATTGCACAAACAAGGCTGGTGTTTGCTGTGTGATTTAGGCCTTGTCCTAAGCAAGCAATCATCATTCCCTTTGGAAAGCTCTGTGAGCAGAACAGTTATTTACTGCCTGTTAAACCAAGATGCTACGCAAGTCCCGTTCGACTTGTTAACGACTTCAGTGAGTGCAATTCATTCTCAGGAAGCAAATGATGAGAGTAAAATACCAACATCACCTTTCAGCAGACGTAATTACTAGGTCAGGAGAGCTGCTTTGCTTTCATAATTCACTGTCTGGGAAAAACTCATGGATGTGACCGGCTGTGTTTGCCTGGGGCTTGGCAAGCACTGCTGCTTGACCCACACTCATCCTGGAGGTGCTGAGCACCTGTAGAGAGAATGGGCCCAGCAGCACAGCTGGCAAAAAGCAGCACAGAGTGTGGGGAAGGGCCAAGTTGGTGTGAGAGCAGCTCAGAGATCACGTTAAATCCTCTGTCTGCTGGGGTGCGTTAGTTACCTGCTCTGCCACACATCCCCTCACGCTGGCAGATGGGAATATTATTGCCTCTGGGCCTCTACAGACACGGTCATGCTGCAACAGAATCAAACACCCCCTACCCTCTCTCTTTTTGCTTGGTGACACATTTCTAGCCTGGAGCTCGAAAGTCAGACACTGCTGTCGGTGCCAGCCTGACCAAATGTGCAGCCCCGTCCTGGCCCTGTGCAGCGACGGGCAGGAGCGTGGGCAGAACCCCAGGAGCACGTGCCCCAGGCACATGTGCCTCACTGGGAGGAGCAGGGAGAGCCTCTCCAGATGAAGGCAGCACTTGCCTGGGACCTGTCTCCAGAGCTGGTGTTTGACTTCAGCTGTCAGAGCGGGACCTTGGAAAGCCTTGCAGAGAGCGTTTATTTGGGGACAGCTCGACAGATGCTGGATGAAACACAGGAAGGATCAACATCCCTGAGCATGCAGTGCTTCTTCCCAGTGCTGGCTAAGCTCTGTTGAGCCACATGGGTCAGAAATGGTGCATGGCACCTGGGCTGGGGCATGGCATGTCCTCAGAGGAGCCCAAGCTCCCACTTTGCTTGGTGACCTCATGAGGTGTCTCAGATATGCTTTTGCACCCATGGACCCTGGTAATGCATCTCTTGAACTCTCACTTATCATTAGCCAGTGGAATAACCTACCACAAGTCACTGTGAGGCTGGAACAAGAGCAGGAGCAGTTCTAGAGGACACAAGCAGAAAGAGCTGCTAAGTGCCTTGGGGGCATATGTACAGCTCTCTGCGAGCCTAGGGCAAGCCAACACGGATGGCAGACCAAGCACAGGAACAGCTCCTGGCCCCAGAAGGGCTGCAGTTCAGCTTTGTCCCTGGGCAGTTTCCTGCACCCCTCCTGAGAGCTGGGTGGGCTGCAAGCCCTGGCTATACCGCAGCACACCGAGCCCAAGGCACAATGGAGATGGAGTAGGAGGAAAGCCACAAGACGGATCAAGAATGGGTGTGTGGAGGCACTGTTGGCCCTCCTCAGTGACAGAAACACAGCAAGGGCAAACTAATGAGTAAAGAAGAGATGGGTACAACGTGAGGGGACACAACAGGATGGGAGGGAAGGGTTTTCCATAGAGAATATGCAGGAGCACTACTGGATCCATCAGGAATCATTACACACTTTATTTGTCTGTGCATTGTGTACCATTGATAAGGATCATCACAATTAGTGGACTCACTGCCTATAGTGGTGGGCAATACACACAAAGAAAAAAATCAATGAAACTAAACAGATGAAAATGAAATCCTTGTACATAAAGGTAATCATAAACCTGAACAACCTGCACCTGTGTTTGATTCTTCCTCCAAAACAATGAGGAACAAAAAGAAAACCCCCCAAACCCATCAGAAGAAAATACCCAAACAAACACAACTTTGTATTCCTAAAGAAAATCTTACAACAGGTTAGTTAAAATTTCTACAGATTGTTCAAAATGAGTACAATACCCCCAGCCAATTGGCTATGGTACAAATGCAGACATGGTTTTCAGCTGGGTTGGAAGAGCTCACCAGTGGATGCACAGGCTGGGCATTTGCCTTGCTAGGACATGAAGAAGCCCAGCGAAGGGCGTAGGTTAAGAAGACATCTCTCAACACGAGCGCACGATGTCATCCCTGTACTGTGCCCAGGAGAGCTCCACATCCACACCTCTCTGGACTCAGCTTGCTGCCCCAGCCCATACTGCTGGAGTCAGAGGGTCATGCTGAGTTACACTTCCCTGTCTTATCCTTCCCATTGATTTCAAATTCGGATAGTGCAAAATGTAGCCTCTTTCCTTGGGGTATGCTTCCCAGTTACATTCAGTGGCATGGGAGATCTTGTTACAGTCCTTACGTTGCCTCCAAATGGCTGTGGGAAAGGACCAGATTTGGGGACTGATCCTGATGGCTTAACACTCAGAAACAGGGGCTGTCACTAGACCTCTGGGGACACGGGGAAAAGCAGGGGGCCAGGTTTTGGTATAGCCACTGGCTATAGAGGCAGAGGCAGGCGAGCTGCTGGGAGCCATCCATGCTTGTCCCTGCTTGGGCTTGGATGTGGCTCATCCCACTTGGGCTCCCTGGGTACTTCTGTAAAACCTCCTGCGGGTGGCGAAGGCCTTCACACCGGCTTCAGCATGTCCTGGACTGGCTGCTGTGGTGGGACCCCCAGCCGTGTCAAGGATGGAGTCCACAGTCTCTGGGTTGTGTTTTTTTTCTCCCCTGAAAACCTACAACTGCATGGCTGTTATTGCTTCTTGTGGACCCATGCACAAAGCAATAAACAGGGACAGCTTTCCCTCCTTATACCCCTACTAAGAGGAAACATACAAACAAACAAAAAAACCTACGGCAAACCTAAACTAACTCAAATAAATAAAACCCAGTGAAAAGTAAACACCTGTATTTGCAATGCTCAACCCACATGGCTGGAAGGACTATCGCTATAGGATGCTATATACAGATAGGGTTCATTTCATTCATGCAAATGTTACAAGTACCACAACAGCATGCCCAAGGATGCGGATGAGATGGGAGGAAAGCCCCCACTGCTCCGCCCAGCCTCGGCTTAGGACACCAGACACGAGGTTGTTGCTGCACATCCCCGAAGCACAGAGAGGGAAAGGTGAGGGGCATGTGTATGTGGCTGAGGGGAGGGGGGAAATGCTAGTTGTACACACGCCAAAACAAAACAAAACCAACCCAACCTCAAATCAATGAAGAAAACAGTTTGTGTTTTATCCTTAGAAAGCTCCCAATTTCCCCTTGTCTCCAGTCTGGTCTCTCGCTTCTCTCCAACAGGGCCAGAGGGGATGTTCCCAAGTGATGAAGGCAGGAGGATGGTGGAGGACCCTCACTTTCCTCTCCTTCCCTTGCCCACTGCTCCGTTTCTCACCAGCTACTCCGGCCTTTGCCAGACCAATGAGCCCTGGTCACCTTCGCATCCATCCTCCCAGGGGGCCAGCAGGCAGGAGAGAGCAATGGAAAAGGGCTCGGTGGCTATCGGCTGCTCTTGGTGGTAGAGTTGCAGAGAGGGCCCTGCCACCGGGCTCCTGGCCAGGGCCGCTGCCCAGGGAGGGGTCCTGCTGGCTTTGGGGTCCTGCCTAGTTCAAAGGATGCTCCAAAGCCGCTTTCCGTCAGCAGGTGTGTGAACATGGCAAATCTCTTTTATTCCTTCTCTGTTCATTATACACAGCGTTATATCTATATCTATACCTATATATCACTCTATATAGATACATATAGATATATATATATTTACTATCTCTGATTGTCCTTTTAGAAGCCCTTTATGTGGCAGTAGGCTTCCAGAGATGAGAAGAATATGTACAAGAGCCAGAGGAGGATAAAGAGTGAAGATGTGAGCAGCTTGGAAGTCCGCGGCCCGCCCAGCTCACCTCCAATCTCGGGTCTCCGTCGGTAGAGCAGCACACCCACACTGATAAAAGCAAAAATGGTGAAGAGGGTGACGGAGAAGGCCAGGGTGCCAGGTGAGACTTGGAAGGCTTGTCCGTGTGCTGCATGGTAAATGGCTGCGATTGACCAGGCCACCCCAATGCCCAGGAAAACGTTCACAGCGTTGCTCCCAGTGACATTCCCGATGGAGGCATCTGCGTACTGGTCCTGTGTTGCTGCCACTTTGCTGGCGAATGTGTCTGTGAAGGGAAGGCAGAGAGAAACCTTCAGGAAACTGTCAGGCAAGGATGGACAGCAGCAGGGAGCCTGTGACAAAAATTTCCAATGACGAATGTCAATAGCATCACTTTGGGGAATGGAAATAGTGGGTAAGGGGATGGGGTACAGCCCCATCTCTGGGCACTCCCAGGGAAGGGCACATTTGGCCAGGGCAAGACTGACAGTCAGTGTCCAGAAACACCCAGGAGGGAAATCTCAATGTCAAAAAATATGAGACTTTACCCAATATGGCCACAGATGCTCCACAGTGCTTCAAGCAGAGACAACACTCTCTGGTACTACACTGTGTTGGCACCACCTCTCACATCCACTAATTTCTTGACTTGCAATCGAACTGAAAAGGTTGCAAAAGCTTTGTGGGAGCCACAATGGTTTGCATCTATCCTTTAGGTCCCTTGGAGTTTTATACTTCTGTTTCTGTGTATGCTTTAATGATGTCTCACCAAAAACTTTGGCCTCACTAAAGTCCAGTGTCTTGTGCAGACCCTGACACTTTGGCAAACAAATGGTCATCTTTCACCTTCAAGGGAGAAAAACCATGCAGACGGGTATGTGCTTGACCAGGTGCTTCACCAGCTTTAATATCAGTGGCAAAAAGAGCTGTGATAAAACTCGGACGGTCTTCTACAGAGCAGAACTTGTGTCAAGTAGATGAGAGCAACACTGCTTTGCACCGTAGGGAAGTGCTGATTTTACATGCAAACCCAGTCTGGATCTGCGGGGGGGATGAGCAGAAGGGGGATCAGCATCTGGGTTTTGCCCAGGTGAGCACTCTCAGATAATGATGAGAAGATGAATGCTTAACACATCTGCACTCCCAGATCACCTTGGGTACAGGCAGCAGAGTGTGGCTCAGAAAAAGAAAATGATGAGGTCAGATTTCATGTTTTTCAATACTACCGAGTTTCCTTTATGCTCCTTCCCAGTGGGGCTCTGAGATGAGATGGCAAAGCACAGCCTGGCATGAAGATCCAGTTTCATGTAACAGGAGGGGTTGGGCACAGCGAGAGGGATCATTCGAAGCAAAGAAATCCTCCTTTATCTCTTAAAAAAAGCTCCTGTGGAGATACATCTGACTGCTGAGGGAAGGACAAAACCATTTCGCCTTGCTCTCAGCCTTGATCATGGCACAGTAGCGGGGTTGTGGGACAGTGCTGATGCCTCTGTGGCTCTCCAGCTGCCACTGTGGGAGGAGGGATGGGGCACATCTGGGGCACACTGCTAGCAGAGTGTGGAAACAAGCATTTGCACTCCTGCAAGTTTGAGCAGTGCTTTTAATGAAGGAAAGGTTCCTGTCAGTCTTGATTTCACTGCATGTTCATCTGATGCCCACCCGCCTCCTAGAAAGCAAGTGTGGAGGAGCCCAAGTAGCACCCAGCTAACATGACGTGGTATAGGAGCATCTGTTCAAACAAGAGTAACCAAATGTATCCTGAAAAGAACTTCTTAAATGTCACCTTTTGTGAACAAAAGCAAGGGGGAAGATTTTCTCTGTCAAGGGTGTGAGACAGCCCAACAAACCTCACACCTAAAAGCTCTAGTGCCAGAGGTCTAAAAAATGCTGCTGCTTCTTGTTCCTTGCTCAAACCTGTTATTCCTCTTGGTTCTGCTGCTTCTCTTTTGGGATCTGATAGCATTAGGACAATTTCAAGATCTTTGAGCACCTGAGTGCTGATCACTGGAAGGCTAGGGGTGGTAAGTGAAGGTGTGACCAACACAAGGGGTAATCAGGTTGGGTTAGAGCCCCAAGAACAAGGCTTTTCCTGGCCAGCACAGCCCATGGAAGAATGTGAGTGAAAGGCACAGGCTTTCCCACACCAGCTGACATGGGACCTCCTGCAGCAACGTGCCACTGGGACCATCCTCTCCAGTGAACTGATTCATCCCTAAGAGGGACCTTTTGCTGAACCAGAGGAAAAGGAGGCTGGGCTGCAGAGAGTCAATGTGCATTGGGACGACAAAGTGGGATGTAGGCAAGAAAACTTGTGTTCTTTCCTCTCCCTGGGTAGTCCTTGGTCTCAGGCTGGGTGACCACTCAATCAGAGACAAGTCTCCAAACATTTGTGGGCCAAGGCCTTCTAGGGGCTTCCTAGGTCATATTTTGAGCAGCTCTTCCAGCTCAGCGATATCACCTCATCTGAACCAAAGCTGCACCTGGTCTCACACAAAGGTGTCCATGCTAGGTAGTGCATCTTGAGTATGGACTAGCACCTGACTTACCTGAGAGGCAAGGCTAAAAGAGCAGATGCTCAGAAAGAAAGCGCTGGACTGCCAACACGGGCAGTATTTCAATTAAAGACTGATTTCCTACTCTGAGAATGGACGCCATAGAGACTGTCCACAGAAATAGATACTTCACAGTCTTTGCAAGGGGAAGGTTCTTGAAATAATTTCTGGGGGACTGGGGGACTGAATCCATCCTGATTGGATCCGCTTGTCCCATCTGAAAAGCAGCTTCCACATATGCCTCAAATCTGTCCTTGGGGGACCAGCAGAACACAGCCAAGGACCTCCCTGTGCTCAGTTTTCCCAGCCCAAACCCAAATCTAGACTGGGCAGAGATGGACTTTTACAACAAACCCTTACCTGGCACCGATGTCCCCAGTGCGACAAACACAACCGCGGTGACCGAGTCCTTCAAGCCAATTGTGCAGCCGAAGTGGGACGCCAGGTCACCGATGAAAGCTGTCAGGAGGCCAATCATGAGGATGGAGACGACGAAGCAAGCCCAGCCATTCCAGTAGTCTGTTGGGGGCACGAAGGCAAAAAGGACCTTCCAGAAGACGGTCAGAAAGTGCATCACATAGTCGAAGCAGGAGGGCAGCTTCTCCTCCCCACATTCATCGTCATCATCATCTTCCCCTGAAGAAAACCATCAGTGCCTGATTAGACTTGCCCATCCTGGGGGAGGCTGGGAAAAGCTCTTGTTCATACAGCAGCTCCCAAATACTTTTCCCTTTGATTTGAGCCCTAGAATACCTTAATTTCCATATATCTTATTTTCTGGGCAAGTGTCAGTCTTGACGACCTCTTCTGGCACCTTCCCACAGCACAGAGAGACCCTCCAAAGGCATTGGTCTTGAAAACCAACCTGCACTTCAGAAAATGCAGAGCCTCATACCAGCACCTCTGCCTGAGTTTAAACATCACATGCTTTCTGGGACTCAGCCTCTGCTCGGAAGCCCTTTACCCAGAAAACATGGGAAATGACTGGCCCCACACTGGCTGGAACTAATCAAAGCTGGTGACCACGAAAAGCAACATGTGATTCCTGGAGACTGCTCTAAGGAAGCCCTTCCTGAGCCATTTTTCACAAGGGTCTGAGATTGCTTCCAGCTCTCTGGAATGATGGTTGGGTTTGGTGCCTGCTGAGCTGTTATCTCTGGCACTTCTCTTTTTCTGCAAACCGGGATCCAGTGATAGAGAATACTTGCCCTAAAACCTCCCTGGTCCATCACTGCTGAATATGCCTCCCTGCTGCATCTCCCTGTCCCTTCCCATGCCTCCCCAGAAATGCTGTCTGTCTATTCATAGAATCATAGAATCATAGAATGTTAGGGCTTGGAAGGGACCTCCAAAGATCATCTAGTCAGATCTGGTCTGACCCAGGTCAGTGGGCACTCCCCGCACAAGAAAACACTTTCCCATTTACACCCTTTTCAGCTAGCTGTCAATCACCCCAGGTCATGAGACAGCTATGGGGCATCATTAATCACAGCAAATTGCACTTCCTTCTTCTCTTTATTTTCTGTCCCTGATCCAGGTCAGTCCTTCACTTGTCAGCAATCTGTTGTTAATACCTTGCAGGGGTCATTTTCCCAGCATGAGCCTGCCAGCAGTCCTGGCCTCATCTCTGCTCACCAGACACATTGTGTGGGTTGGACTCTGGCTCTCTTGGCGCTGTGCTGAGCACTTGGCCCCACACAGGGCACTGCTGCTCATGGCTGTGGCCCCTGCAGCACCTGCAAGACCTGGGTTCTCCAGCAAAGTCAAGGAGTTGTGGATGTGAGTCCTCATGCCCATCCTGCCTGATGTCCTAGGGGTTCTTGGAGTGCCAGCTGATGTGTGCCCCAAAGGTTCTTGGGGAGTTATGCACCCACAGCCATGTGCCCTGGATGTGCAGGCTGGCTCGTGCCCAGAGGCTGTCCTGTGCATCACAGGAAAAAAGCTCAACAGACACCGGACTCTTTTGGCCCCCTCCCATGTCCCTTGGCCCTTTCCTCTGGCACTGACCCAGCACATCTTCATCCTGTCAGTTCTGGCAGGACCATGTCTCCCTTCCCTGCTCCAGGTGTCGGCACCTCACCTGTCCCTCCAAAGCCACTTGGCATCCAGCCTCCAGGGAGTCCCCACTGTGTGGGACTGACCCCACCAGTGATCCTCTTGGGACTCACCTCTTGCCTGACTCCAGCAGCTCTGATGAGACATATTGTGAGCCAGCTGGTTGGCCTGTCCTCTGCATGGGCTGCACAGCAAATGTGGAGCTCCTCAGCCTGGCACAGTGTGCAGCATCAGAGTTGTGGCCCAGTGCACAATGTCAGAGTTGTGGCACAGTCAACACACCTCCTGCTCATGCTGGTACGACCTCCAGGCATGAAGGGGAGGGGACATTTTCCCAGTGAAATCAGTGGGAATCTTCACAGAATCACAGAATGTTGGGGGTTGGAAGGGACCTCTAGAGATCATCTAGTCCAACCCCCCTGCCAGAGCAGGATCCCCTAGGGCAGCCACACAGGAACGCATCCAGGCAGGTTTTGAAAGTCTCCAGAGAAGGACACTCCACACCCTCTCTGGGCAGCCTATGCCAGGGCTCTGTCACCCTCACAGTGAAGAAGTTTCTCCTCATGTTGAGGTGGAACTTCCTGTGTTCTAACTTAAGCCCATTATTCCTTGTTCTGTTGCTGGGCACCACTGAAAAGAGACTGTCCCCTTCCCCTTGACACCCACCCCTCAGATATTTATGTATGTTAATAAGGTCCCCTCTCAGCCATCTCCTTTCAAGGCTGAACAGCCCCAGTTCTCTCGGCCTCTCCTCATAGGAGATGTTCAAGTCCCTTGATCAGCCTCATAGCTCTCCATTGGACTCTCTCCAGCAGGTCCCTGTTTTCCTGCTACCTTCAAGGAACAAGGATGAGTTCCTAAGTCACAGATGTTGGGGATCCCAAGGCCAATGCAACTTGTGTCAGACATCCCTTGTAGTCAGGTTGGTGATTTGTCATTGCCTTTGATGCACTTTTTTTTCCTCCAAGGATGCGGACCACCAGATCTCCCTTCACAACTGCTGGCAGAAGCTCCCTACCAATGGGAGACCGCAATGTGCAGTCCATCCCTGTCAGATAGCACAAGTAAGCCTGGCTCTACTGCCCAGAAGGACACCTTGAGATGGCACTAACAGGGGCCAAGTCTCAGAGTAGCCAAGAGCACGCAGTGAAACCTGAGCCTCTGCTTCACTACAGTGGGTGAGGGGACAAGGTCCCACCTTACCAGAGACTCGGTTTAAAGGGATAGAGTCATAGAATCATAGAATCATAGAAC